TACTAAGCGTGAGCCAAAGCCAAGGACCAGGGTGGCCAGGACACCCCATTAACCTAACTGATGACCCCTAATATTGCAAAAGCCAGTTAGCCAAAGTAAACCCAAATGGTCACTAAATATATGCATTAAAATGCACAGAAATCATGATAAAATATAGAAGAAGCATTAAAAAAGCCAATAACAATGGGAAAAATAAAAGTTTGTTATAACAATGAAAACCAGAAAGTTAGTTGCAACAATGGAAAAAAAATCTATAACCATTGAAAAACCGAGACCAAGTACAACAGAAAAACTATAAACAACCATTGGGACCATTACGATGTTTGTTAGGACCGTTAATGATCGTTGGAAAAACGTTAACAATGGAAAAATTTGAAAATCCCATGTTAAGAGATAGGATGAATTTTGAACCTCTGTAACTCAGCTAGTAATTAACCTACTGCTACCCCACTTATAAAACTAGTATATTATCCCACCCTACTTAAAACCCCCAGTGCTGCCCCCTGAGAATTTAACCCCTGCTTACTAGACTTGGCCAAAAATTAAAACCTTAATTACACCCCTAATTAATTTATATAAACACAAATTGCCTCCAAATTACTTGGGGTGACTTGCCAGATGCAATGGTATCCTGCACGAAAACGTATACCAAAAACCAAAAACTTCACCAAAAATGTCAAAAAAATTGGAGAGCACAAACAATTACATCTTGACTATCCAAAATGATCCTCTCTTTCGTTGCAAGGAGACAGCAGTGTGGTAAAGAGGACCTCCCAAATGTACACCAGGCCTTGAGCATCGCTACCCAATTCCAAAGTGGGTGTGATATTGCTGTATGGGTAGTATTGTATCATAATTCCCCACTACAACAGAACAATGGTGCTCAGATATGCAGTTGGCCAGCATTCTAGTGGTCATGCCTATATAATGGGTGTATAGCTCTGACCTGGATTAGTTGATACAAACAGTTAAAACATCAACATTAGCTCCGTATTTACCCCCTACCTTCTCTGCAAATTAAGATTCATGTGTGTCGATGTTACACGATTTTTAATTTAATGTTTTAAGTTTTCTTATGCTTAAAGTTGTCGTGTTACGTTCCAAATGACTAATGTGTTTACTGCGTTCTCTGTATATTAAGGTGCATGCACATCAAGGTTACACATTTTTCAAGTTAATGTTTTAAACTTTCTTATTCTTAAAGTTATGTTATGTTATGTTCCAAATGGCTAATGTCGTTATCATTTCAACTTCAAAATTCCATTTGAAATCTGTTCTATTCTATTGTGACCATCAGCCATAATATTGTATATATATATATTTTTTGAATTAATCCTATCCCTCCTTCCTGTTTCTTTGTCTCTTCTAAGACCTTCTGATCTACCCCTTTTGCCCCTGGGGTAGGATTACTTCTTCTAAGAAAATAAGAACAAGAGAGGGAGTGGGGCCATGGGAAAAGACCGGTCAGAAATAAGGCATTCTGGAGAGAGACTCCGAAGAGAGCAGATCGAGAAAGGAGTGCTCGTGACCTGAACCGGCAAGCAAGAAAAAAAGACGATAATAAAAGAAAAGGACCGTGAGGACAACGAAGAGTCCAAGGAACGAGCAGAATTCTTCGACATCGAAAAGAGCAGAACAGACCTTGGGGAAAAAGATAGCAAAGAGGCGCCATACTTCGAACAGTGTATATACATACCAAAAGAAATCCCGGGTATTTCTATTCTCCCTACCTTTTGTTTCCATATTTATCTGTCCTACGTTGTTATTTCTTCCATTAGTTATAAGATAGATATAAGTTAGTTATATAAGTATTTTTTTGTTGTCACGTGTACGAAGCCTGCTGACAGTGGAGGACAAGCCTGTTCCTTTTTTTTCTGTATAAAAGAGGCATAAAGTTGTTAAGTTGGGATTCCTAAAGTAAAGTTTCTGTGTGATAATTGAATTTTGTACCTTTCTTTTGTTTGTAACTTTTCGTTCGCAGAATTGTATACCTGTCCCGTAACGAACCACCACACTATTACTGCCTAGGATGATGAGCATTACTACATAGAAAGTGCTTGCAGGAAAATAAAACATTCCTTAAAGTTTCTTTTGTGAATTTTTCTCAAGTTAGAATAATTGTTGGCATGACATCCACCATATGTAATTAGATTACCTTACATGAAGATAGAATTTAATTTTCATTTAATGTTCAGGGATATACTTGCAAGGGATGGCTTCTTTCACAATAATGTTCTTCTGCCACTTCCCACTCAAATTTAAAAGTAAACTGTGTAATAAAAAGAATGTGACAAGCAGTTAATCACTGTATGAAACAGACTGAAATACTAGGCTAAATGAACAGCTACAAGGTAAAACAGAATTGAACAAGAACAAGTATTTAGTTTTGTCTTTTTTTTTAATTTAGCATTGTTATGTATAGATTACCACTGGCATATAACATGCAAAAAGCTGCTATACAGCTTTGCACAATAATGTGTTACTAGTGATTGTGGATTATCATGTTTCGACCTACCCAGCTATGCTAAGTCTATGCAAGCCATCAGCAATGTGGATGATCCACAATCAGAAATTTTTGGCTACATTCCTAAATATTAAATTAATAATTCAAATACCATATTTATTGTTATAAACAGTGTATCTGCAAGATGAAAGTTATAGACAATGTCCTCTGATGGTAAGTGCACAGTCTGAAGATAACGCTTGTCTTAAATATGATATTTATAAAGTATAATATCAGAGACCTATATAAAAGAAAAATAATATTTTTATTTTATAGAGATCTCTGAAAGTAAATAAATAAAAGTTCCAAATAAAAAAACCAGATTTTGCTTTATGATAAAGAAAAAATAAGTGGTACAGTAGAGTCCAAAAACTAGGCCTAATGTGGACCGAAGGGTGGCCGAGTTTGTGAAAATGCCGGGTTATCGGGAATGGGGTTAAAAAAGAATAAGTACAAGTGTTTCCTCAGAAAATACTGTGCTGTACTTGTATGTATTGTTTGCTTGAGAATACAACAGAGAATAAACTGCCCAAATACCCTTAAACAAAGGAAACGTATGTACTTTATGAAGGCGTAGAGCCTTTACTACATGAAAATGAAAATTAATGAATACACAGTGTACAATAATTTACCTGATAAGACAGACCTCAGAAAAATACTTTATGAGGCATAAAGCTGTCTATAATGAAAATTAACTAGGGGTTTTTTTGCCCTGCCAGGATGTGGCCAAGTTATCCAGATTGCCGGGTTATCGAGTGCCGAGTTTTCGAGACTCTAGTGTATAAGTAGTATGGAAATGCATGTTGAAAGTGATTAAAAATATGTATAATTGATTTTTAATTTAATATTTTCTGAACTGTAAATGACTTTATTACATATTTTTAAAAAATCAACTTTTTATAATAGAAGAATGGTGTACTTAATTGAAATTTTTAAAATGTTAAAACTGCAGCAAAATAAATCAGTTTTTCATATAAGAACTTTGTCTACCTGAAAGNCCGGGTGATAAGCGGTTGTAAGTAATCTTTTGATTTGAAGCAAGTCACACACTTCTTTGAACATTTTGGAGACTAAATTTGGTCCTCTATCAGTCAATAGCTGTGTTGGGGTCGAATGTCGTAGTATAATATTTGTAACAAAGGCTTTTGCAATTGTTTTACTGCTAATTTCTGGCAATGGAATTGCTTCTGCATATCGACTAAAGTGGTCGACAAAAACTAAAATATATTTATTTCCATTTGTTGTAGTGGGTAAAGGTCCTACGATATCCATCGCTGTTCGTTCAAATAAATAAGTCAAGGGTGAAAACAACTGCAACTCTGCTTGCGTTTTTCGACCTTGTCTTCGGTGTTTCGCACAACTCTGACAACTTTGACAATAACTCTTTATCTCCTTTCTCATTTCTGGCCAATAAAACAGTTTTTCTATTTTGCCTTGCATCTTCATCTCTCCTAAGTGTCCGGCAATTGGATTGTCATGAAAGGTATACATAATGTATTCCTTCAGACTAGCAGGTATAACTATTTGTTCCCACAAATTTGTTCGTTGTCTATTTACTCCTTTATGACACAAAACGTCTTCTTCGTTTAAATAAAATTCGTCCAGTTCTAAATTGTTATATTTTCCTGAGGTGTTTCCATCCTTTATCGCTTGGATAACAGATTTCCATCGCACATCTCGTTGTTGTAGTTTACCTATCTGCACCGTCGTAAAAATTGGTTCTACTTTGTTTATTTGTCTAATAGGAATGCGACTTAATGCGTCTGCGTTGAGATGCGCGTTTCCAGCTTTATGAATAACCTCGAAGTCGAACTCTTGGAGGAAGATAATCCATCTAGCCAATCTAGAGTTTGTAGTTGAGTCCTTACTATTAATTAACCATCTGAGTGGTCGATGATCTGTAATTATAGTAAATTTTCGGCCATACAAATAAGGCTTAAAGTATCGTACAGCCCATACTGTAGCTAGACATTCTTTTTCTGTCGTGCTATAATTTAATTCGGGTTTTCTTAATAAACGACTTGCNTCTTAGCTTCATTTCTCCCCATAGACCTTACTGGCATGAGTGTCCCTACCAGGAGCTTGTGCTCCAGCCTGCATTGCCTTATGGATCTGTAAAACTACTGGGCTCTCCCACCACGACCAGGTGGTGACCACGGGAGAGTTATTATTATTATTATTATTATGGATTGTATAAATTTAATAATGTTTTATAAAATGAAAACCATTCACACTTTTCCAGCAAAGGGGTTTACAGATTGTTTTAATTTTATGTATACAAGCTTACAATATTTTAAAATAAAATTTTATAAATGGCATCATGAAATGTTTGAAACATTCCAATTTGGAATTTTGCAGTTTGAAATTTGAGGCAGATTTATAAAATGAACCAAAAACGTTTGTTCTGTAAATGCTTTTGCTGGAAAAGTGAGAGTTGTTTTGATTTTACAGGCTATCTCTTTCAGTTTTTTAAATCAATTTAAATTTTATTTTATAGCTATGCAGCTTGTTGTGATTTTCTTCAACAAAATAACTTATTATCAATAATTAGGGCACATGAAGCTCAAGATGCTGGGTAAGTTTAAAAATTACTTTATCTAATTAATTATAAAGATCAATTCTATGTAAATTTTACTACCAGCAAACTCTTTTTTTAGACAAATTTGATATGACCTCAATTATATTTTCAGTATATTTTTAATAATTCTAAATATTCGGTATTGTCGTAGTGTGAGTCTTAGACATTCCCCTTTTTTTCTGTTTTATCATATTAATATTTTATTGCTTTTAAAATATTTATTCTGGTCCCTTTGGAATCTAGACCCATAGTTTGCATACTGTTGGTAGGATAATATATACCAGGGGTTGGCAATGCTTTGGGGGTGTTGTGCTAAATGATTTTTACAAACTTGTATCGCGTGCCGACATGATTCTACGAATTTTGTTTTGACGTTTTATTTTGAAATTTTTGTTCTACTCATATTTTGTTAGAAATTAGAACTTTCAGAATTCTAGTTCATTGAATAGAGCAGGTTTGTGCAATTTATTACAATTGTTTTGTGTGTTTATTTGTACATCAAAGAAAATATTTTATACATTTTAGTTTATTTTTATAATATTTTGTTTCCCAGTAATGATGGAAATCAGTCATTTAGGTGTTTTCTCTCTCTCTCTGTCTTTGGCACTCATAGTCCCTAAAGGACCTTGGTCTCATCTAGGATTTTCACCCATTCCTCTCTATCTTGGGCTTTCCCTTTCTAACAACTCACACCCATCATTCTCAAATCATCCTCCACATCCTCTTCCCATCTCTTTTTTGGTCTCTCTCTCTCGGTCTTCTTCCCTATGGTCTTTCTCTGTACATCCGATACACTGTTTTCTCGGGATCTATCCATTCTAAATGCCCAATCCAACAAAATCTCCCTCTTTTAATTTCTGTTACAATATCAGGATTTTCATATAAATCGTCGAGTTCTTTATTATTTCTAATTCTCCACTCTCCTCTATCCTGTACTGGTCCATATATTCTTCTCAGAATTTTCCTTTCAAATCTTCTCAACTGTTCAAGTTTTCTTGTCAGTGTCCAAGTTTCGGAACCATACATGATTACCGGTCTTATAATAGTTTTATATATTCTAATCTTACTGCATCTTGATATTTCTTTAGATGTTATAATTCTTCTTAACGTATAATAACTTAGTCATTTAGGTGTTAAAAAACAAAATTAAAAATTACATTTTTATTGTAATAAAACATTGTACAGTACATAGTTTGAATACAAACAAGTTATCAAAAATTCTGTTATTAATCATTTTCTTTATTAGTTACAGCTATTAATTGATTAATGTGAGCCTTGTCCCTGCATTTCTTTGCACAATTTCTCAATATTAGGTGTGTAATTTGTCACTTTTAGCTTCATGCAGGCTTTCGAATGTTCAAGTGTTAGACAACTTCTATGTGAATTCAAAATACTTCTCATATATGAAAAATTTGTTCACAGAGGTAAGTTGAACCGAACGCTGACAGTTGAGCACATGCAATTTTCTTCAAACAATTAAATTTTTCAGATAAAGCTATCCAACAATTGAAAATGAACTCCGACTTTTCCAAGCAGTCACTTTCAAGAGTTTTCCACAGTTTGACAAATTTTGTTTTCCACAATTTTGATATTAATTCTATAAGTCCCATTTCAAAATTATCAGTGTCCATTCACTCAAAAAGAGATAAATCAAATGAGACTGTTTTTAAATCAATTAAGTCAGGTTTAATAAGAAAAGAAAATATGGGTGCAATATATAAACTTTTATATAGTTTATTAGAAGTTTGTATACTGTATATAAACTTCTTGCTAATACCAAAGATAAATGTAGCGAAACCAGAAAACCCAGAGTATACTCGGTACCGCTGGACGATAACAGATTTAATAGGAACAGAAAGTTAACATACATAGGCTCAACCAACAGGTCGTTAGCAAAAAGGATAGCAGAGCATAAATATGATATGCAGAGTAAGAAGTTTAGTACCACGCTAGCCCAATATGCAAGCGAGTCAGGTATAACAGCTAAATGGGAAGAAGCTAAGATTATAATACCAATACTCGATAACAGCAAGCTAAGAACAATAGAAGCACTGGAAATCTTTGCAAAATCACTCAAAGAAAATTGCATTAACAGCAGACTTGCTACCTACAGCTTGGCAATCACTCATTGACAACCCCCTAAAGGAACTGGACTAACCCATCTATCTCAAGCAATATGTGACATGGCAATCTTACGAATTTATAAATATTTTAATCCTATCGACAATAGTCATTTTTTGTAATTTGTTATTCCTTTACATTTATTAATTTTATCTATTTCCGTGTATATTTAATGATTGTAATTTGAAAGAAATTTTTTGTAAAAACAATGACGTTGTAAGAACGAAAATAAATTTTCGAATATCTGACGTTCCAATATTGCAGAACCTGGGGAAGGCCATTAAATGTAGCCGAAGATGTTAGTTCGATTAAGGAAATTGCTAGAAAAAGAGTGGAAGGTTTTATAATACATATTCAATTTTCTTATCAGCAGAACGGTGTTTGCTTTGATAATGTCTTTGTACACTTGAAGTAGGACACACGACACTTTCTTAACATAAAGCACAAACAGCACGATCCTTTTGTTGTAAAAATCCATATTCTTCAGTCCAAATGTCTTGAAAATATCAAACGTTAACATTTTGTCTTTTATGAACCATTCTAGGGTGGTATATTACTTATTAATAACAAGCATGTGGGAATAGGCAAACTGTCCAGATCGAGATATGCAGAATATGCCGACTTCTGGCCTCGGTAGACATAGATAAGAATGCGGAGCATGAACGCATGCACATTACATACACAAAATGTAGCTGATACAAACGCTTTCATTGTGATTTCAATATCATTTTATAATGATAATTTTTAACATATTTTATTTATTTATTTATTTGTTTGTTTTAATATTTTAATTCAATCAGCGTGCAACTGAAAATGATCTGGTGTGCTAGTCTGGCATGGTGCTGTAGGTTGCTGACCCTGATATATACAATGGAGCCCAAATGGAGGTTAACTCAAATTCATGCGGGGAATTTGGACTTTGAGTTAAAAAGTTTTGAGTTACACCGATTCAGCTAAAAATCAAGATTTTGTGTATTAGTTTATCATTGAACCACGATAAACTATCCATATGACATTTCAGTGAGTCTTATTATGTACAATTGTTGTGTTAATGTAAACCTCTTGGTGTCATCCAGAAATTGAAAACTCAACCAAATAGGTAAATAAGCTACTGAGAAATGTTTTTCGTGGTTGATCCATGCACTTGTGTTTAGTAAGGACTTTGGTAATTGCAACGTTTTGTGCCTGGAATCAACCTGTTTATTTACTTTTTTTGTTTGTTTGTTTGACTTTGGTTTCACGACAGACGTGTGTGTAGGCGATCAGATTCAAGAGGACTATGAGACTGTGGCAGAAGTAATGCATTCAGAGACAAGTTATACGAAACAAATACCCATTTATTTGTTCATAGGATTTTTACACATAAGACTAATAAGATAAGACTATCGAGTCAATTAGGAATCTGTAGTTGCGAATAAATTAGATGCGCGTGAGAGAGAGAGTTCACAATAGATCGCGTGTTGCTAAATACCTAGTAGAGGAGTTTTAAGGACCTGAAGCTTGCTGGTTGGGTCGGTAAGAGGAAAATTGTTGACAACAGTTCTTATTCCAGAGGTCAACAGCCGATAATATGGCCACATGCGAGAGGGACGATGTGTAAAGCATACAAGACATCCTCCTGCATTAATTCGAGGAACGAAATATATCGTTCATTGGCCTGGCAGTCTGTACTACACAATGAAAGTTAACGTTATAAAATTATTTACGGATGCCGCCGGAACATTAATCATAAGTTATGATTATACGATCTCGAACATTGTGCATTTTTATTTAAAAAATTCTGAATTGTGATTTAGAACATTTGTAAACACAGCACACGAACGGATACACGGAGGAAACTGGACCTTTGAAATTTACATGGTTCGATAAAGTTCAAAAATTTGTGTTCGTATTCGTTTTAGAAGATCCAGCTCGTTTTTTCCCGAGGAAGAACCCGGAAGGGGTTAATAAAATGTTTTATTTCTAATTGTGAATTGTATTACGCAGCAGTTAAAGGTGCAAGTAAGTTGAATATTGTGCGATCTGGATTTATATTGAAAAATCTGTTAGATCGACACGTTTTCTCATTTCTGTGGTTGTCCCAAGATCCTCATTTGATTGAAAGTTATTAAACGTTAATTATAAAAGTGCGTTGCGAACAGAGCATACAAGAAGATCGGTCATTGTTGGGAAAGAACGAGCATTTCCAATTACATGTATATCGTATTTTTAAAACAATTTATATGTTGAGGATTATTTGTTTATGGACATAATTTATCGTGTAAAGCGATTAATTTTACGGTCAAAATTATATTTTGACGTATAACGGTAGACTAATAATAGACCCTGGGAGAATTTGCAGTAACGTAGTTTGCAAACGTGTGAAACTTGGAAACACGTGTTCTTTTACTGCATCAAATTTGAAACAAATAGGAAAAAGTATTGGACAAGATTTAAATCTTGGAAAGATATAATTCATTTATTACGTTTTCAAAAAATGTTTATTTTTGTGTTATCCTGTACTAAGCTATTTAATCAATTTGTTAAATTCTACTAGCTTCAGTTTATTCTAGTACTGTACTTTAACCTTCTTGTAATGAAGTAAGGTTCATATAATAATCTACAAATTAATAGATCCAGGAAATTAATCTTTTTGTCCTATTTCATTTTTCTTTAGTAAAATGAATAGAAGACAAAATATATCTATGTAAATTGTGATAATTTGTCAGCGATCCCTTCCCATCGTAAAAGAACATTATCTACATACCTAATGTATAGGAGCAGAAAACGGGTTACGAGAAGGGTCGAAAAAATATTAAATTCGATATTTCTCAAAATTGATTCTGCTAAATTTGCCGATAGATTTACCACACTAAAATATTATCCAACACCGTACAGTAGTAAAACACCTCGTAGAACCAAAAATCTCCAGTAAATAATGGTGGAAAGAAGGACTAGCATTTTTGATTTTTCCCTTGGCTCCACGCCAGCCGTGTTAAAGATGGTACTGCAAAAAACAGTAGACAAAACAATACTGTATGAATTAAGTTACTGTTAATTAATAAATCTTCAAATTATAAATTTTACAATTTATTTGACGTATCTGTAATACTAAGATGTATAGCCTATTAATTAAAGTCTTATTTAATTATCTCGCTTAATGTCATCGATGGGATTTATTGTTATCAGTGCCAGTGAGTTTCTAAATGATTACTGTATGGATATTTATAGTTTTTAATTGAATAATACTGGATTAACTTAACTGGAAGTTCAATTTGAATTTGTTTCTTATAGGTATCGCATGTATAGAAAAAGTCAAACAACAGGTTTTCCTTCTTTGATAACCATATTTTCTGCACCTAATTATTTAGATGTATATAATAATAAAGGTAAGTACATAAAAAGACTTTTATTTTCTTTATAGAACTAATTACTTTTAAATTCATAAGCGAAAAAAAATGATCTTAATATCGTATCTAATTTATTTTAAGAATTAAGTCTATTACTTTTATATTTTTTGTTTTATTGAGATACTCGCTGCGTTACCCGTCGTTGACGGGAAATATTTATTTACTTGCCTAAAGAGTATATCCGCGGAGAATTGTGTTACAGATTCATTATATTCCTATTAAAGGTGTGGAATATTTTTTAGATAAACTTATTGAATAACCTCCCGATGTACGACATTTTGTGTTTTATCATCGGGAGAACAAACGAACAGATTTGCTGCTACTAACGCGTGAGCACGCGACATAGAGTTTTCCGTGTGAAAAGCATCCCACAACTTTCATTTGGAACACCCTATTGCGCTTTAAAAAATGTTTAGTGTCAAGATGCGATAGAAAAAGTTCCTCCGCCATTCATTCTTCGACTTCGGAGCACTTTATCTATAGACCCAATATTAGCCGATGATGAATAGTCTAAGAGTGTCGTAAATGAAAGCACTTTGGGAGTGTTTTGCGCCAAGGATTTGGCATAATCTTCGTTCGCGCCAATCACCGACGCAATACGTAACGATTCGAAAACCCGCCATACGTACACGTACCGCCATCTAGCGTGATGACGTCATTTTTTAAGGCCTGGAAGAATTTGTTAATTAACTAATTATAATTTAATGTCAGTTCTTCAAATATAATAGTAAACTTCAATAATACACTTTTCTTATAGATAATGTCTTGACAGGAAGTACTAATTCGTGTGTCGCCATCTAGCGAAGAGAGAGAGAGAGAAATTCTTTGCAGTTTTATTTAATTAATGAAAAATCTGTAGGTTTGATTATTGGTAAACATTCCGAGGATCGTAAAGATGCTACAGTTAAAATTTGGTAACGATTGGTTCGGTAGTTTTCGCGATTAGTTGGAACAAACGAAAAATATTTGTCTCGTTGTATAGTAGTATAGATTTACATTACTTTCCAAGTACTTTAATTAAAGCCCGTTGACCCATCCCCACGGGTAGAATTAATAGAAGTATTTTCAAACAGTAGATAGATGTTTTTTGTTAAATATTTCCAACATAAGTAAATAATTTTTTCGTCAAACATTCGTCTCGAGCAGATAATCCAATTTCTTGTTTCAGAATTTTATTTAAAAAACATTTAAATAATAAGAACGAGTGAATCAATGTAATCTTCATAAACACCAACCTGTCCTTTTGCACCACCCGAATGTTTTTGTTACCACTTTCGAGCCGGTGTTACGTAATCCACATATCTGATGTTAATCACTATGCACTCGATGGCCTTTTTCTGTAAATTCGTATTTTATCTATGCATCTCTCCCCACTACTTTCTCTTTTTAATGCTTGTTCTACAATTCCTGTTATTTTTCCATTTGTACAATTCTTCCTATGTTAATTTTTCTCTTCGCTGTCTAGTATTGTAATCAGAAAAGATGGTGGCGATGCAGATGTGAGAAAAGAATAAAAAGAACAGAGGATAATGATGATCTACTATGCAAATAGAAAAATTGGAGAAGAAAGAATATTATTATTATAACTACAGTATCTATAAAATCGAGTCAGACATACTCGTATATTAATAATCAAATGACGCCACTTGATTTTTAACGGGTTATAATAAGGCTAAATAATTATAGATATTATGTTAATTGAGAAAAATTAGATGTTTAAGTTGTTATCTTATATTAAATTTAACAATTAAAATTAAAGAAATTGTTTAGAGTATTTTGGAAGAAAAGATGAATNATCAAATCAAGAATAGAACTAATTATTAACATTTATAATTAATTTAGACATTTACTATTACATCAGAAAGAAAAATATAACTATACATTTATTTAAACTTTTATACTTTTAGAAATGGTACCTAATTACTGATAAAATTATTGATAAATGGATAGTGAGAGTTTTTCCTGTTCATGTTTCTAATGAAATTAACAGAATTTCATAGAAGATGAAGTTAGATATAAATACATAAATATGAAAAACTAGTTAAGAAATACTACACTTTACTATCACCAACATTTCATTCATATAAAATGAACATCATCATGTAATGCAGAATGAAAACTGTACAGAACACCAGAACACTTTTTGAATTGATTGAATACAATAAAAATTTAAATATTGACATGCAATAGTCATGTCACATTGTTTATGAAACCAAATTTTTAATTAACAATGAAATATTACCTCTTATTTCATAGTTGTTGTGTGAATTTTCTGTCAGAATTTGATACAGATTATGAGAAGTCTTAGGGAAGCTGAATGTATGCTCACCATGCTATAAAAAGTATCATTTTCCTTATAATTTATAGCATTTCCTTTTTTAATTGCCCTGTGTATTTCCAGGGCCTCCAAATGTTTCAAACATTCAGGCTCCAAAGTGTGATGTAGGAATCTCACTTCATCAAAGTTGATCTGGATGTCATCATCTATTGCTTACTTGGCCAGTGCCATGTTAGCCATCTTCTTTTCGATGTTATACTTGTACTCTTATTTTCACCACCAGGTCCCTGGAGTTAGTTCTATATCATCCAAAATTAATATGGATAGGAAACTTATCAATTACATTGTTAATGTGGGTGTTAAACATCTGTATACTGTAACTGGTCCCAAGGATATATTGGATAAGTTAAGAAAATTGAATATCTTGGATGACACTGTTATCACCATATGTGATAAAGCAATGTTTCCATCAATACAGCTAAAACCCTGCTTTTGTGAGATTTCATGTAAAATGTTATCTTATATTAAATTTAACAATTAAAATTAAAGAAATTGTTTAGAGTATTTTGGAAGAAAAGATGAATTTGGAGAGAACGCGAACCCTCGATGTCTGCTTATCGTGCAGATGCATTGCCAATTACGCTATTCGGATCTTCGTCCAGACCAATTCACTTAGAAGAACTGCAGTCAAAAAGAAATTGCCTCCGAACTTAAACGGCAACCCCGACTGTTGCCAGACTTTAAATGTTCCTTGGAAGTCGTCGTGTCAAATTCTGTAGCAGTTGTTACGATTCAGACCGTATCAAAATGCCACCTACCCTTTGAACTCCGGATTTCATTCCGCGTGTCAAAAAGAAGTTACAAAGGGCTAAATCCGGCTAGGTGAAGGTTGGGGGAAGACTGTCGTGTCGTTTCTTTTGCCGAAAATGATTGCATATTGCATATTGAAGGCTCTACGTAGGAGAGTGTTGTTATTACGAAGGAGCCAGGTTCGGTCGGGTCACAGTTCTGGTCTTTAATGACAAACGTTCTCGTCTGGAAACATGGCAGTAAAAGTCCGAATTCGCTGTGTGACTGGGAAGAATAAATTTTTAGTACACAATCGCTTTGTAATTGAAAAAAAAGATCGTTGTACTCTATTTCTCTATTTGCCTGGCCTTCTTTAGTCTCGAAGATTGTTGTCTCGCCCATCACTTAGTTGTCGTTTACCTTAGGCCTCCGAAGCATACGACAGATCTCTTCGGTAGATTTCCCAAATTTAACGTTGGCTGTAATACAGCTCGCTACACGTGATTTTGTAACGACATTAATAAGACTTGACAAAATCACACGTAGCGAACTGTTGGGTTTAAAAATCTCGACACCAGTTGGCAGATCGATGCTGGAATAAGTAAGGCAGCGATCCTCGGTGCTATCCCCGAACAGCGGGAACAGTCCAGTTTCTTTTCGACCACAGTTTATATAGGTCCGAGTAGCGTAATCGGCAATACATCCGTACAGTTAGCACCGGTTGTAGGTTTGAGTCCCACTCCGAATCGATTTTTCTTTCGGAATATTCTAAATTAATTGATTTCTGATAATTAAATTTCGTACGAGATGGCAATTTAATGGCCTAACTTTAGTCCACCTTCTATATACAGTTTTTTAGCCTTATTATCGTATAGCTGGCTAAATATCCGGCCGTATTGTTTGATTACGAAAATAGTTGTTTCGAAAGCAAATACCACAGTCGGTAAGTTAAGAGACGAGAAAGAGAAGAGGCAGTTAGAAGACGGCTGGAATTTACATAGTACCGATAGAAGAAACTAAAGAAATAAATGTTCCGTATGACAAGAAGCTTAGACTTAGGTTAAAGGAACATAGAGAGGATTTTAGGAAAGAAAAATAACGACGGCAACGGGAGAACAAACGCAAAAAAGAGAAGTTGTATTCTAGTTAAAGGACGAACTTAGGAAAAAGAACACGGACTGCGCGAGGACGAACATCGGATACGCAGTGTACTCGGCGCGGGCTCGAAAATGGATAACAAAAACAAAAAGGATTCATTTACGCCAACGGAGCTGAAGGCTAAAGGAGTATTAGATTGACTCGATTTTATTATTATTATAAAACTGTGTTAGGAACGCCATGTTAAACCGGAAAAGATTTAGAATACAGTACTGGCGCCGAGTGTTCGAAAGTTTACGTAAATCCCGTTTTCCGTAACGGAACGAAAAGCTTTTAAACGACGATAAGATCCCCAATAAATTCGACAATGGGAGAAGTAGTTTTTACAGCGTAAAAGATTTTTTAAATATTTTACTAACGTGTAGCGATAAGAAGAAACCTACAGTTATAGCCTAATTATTTAATTATAAAACGCCGGTAGGAAAGATTTAATAATCGGATATTTCAAAATTAACCGGTTAACGTCATTATCCGCCATCTTCTAATGTAATTAACGTCCCGGAATTTCCAAATTGCCACGTTTAATAGTAGGGAAAGACGCTTCCGTCGGAAATAAAACCGCCCGGGTCAAACTTTATTTCCGACTTAAGTATTAGGCCAAATTCCGGTTTCACTTAAGACTGGCGGGGGTAAAAACCGGCGAATAGAACGGAAGAATAGGCCGTTACCGGGTTTATCCGAAATAGGTTTTCGTAGGCCGCCTTCGAAGCGCATCAAAATTCGGTGGGTAGTCGCGGCATTTCGTTTCGTCGGT